CAGGCCCGAAAAACAGCATGTTTCTGCTTCCACTCAAAATAGGCATTTTCAAAATAATATAATAAATGATCTGTGGGGTATGAAGCTGAAACTTCACAGACAGAGACTTCAGAGACTTATTACATATTGTAAAAAGGGGCATAATATGTCTCCTTTAACAATTCTTCTCCCCCGAGTTACGTCTTACACCATTTTGGTGAGTACCCAAGAATGTAATTAACGTAATCAGCGTTGGTTTGTTCTTGTCTTAAGTCTCGGATTATGTTTGGATGTTTGGATCACTGTAAATAAAGCTGCACTTGGGTTCTCACTTCAACTTGCCTTCAGTGGATGATTCGTTACTGAATACACGACCGCTCAATAATGAACCCAGCAGTTGTTTGTCTCCTCCGCCTTCGTCAATGTGATCAGGCCATTGAGCACTATGTGGAGGACTTTTGTGGACTGTGCCATTTGGTGGCTTTTAATGATATGGCCCTTAAGGACATTTTTCGAGTGGGTTTAAATGAACCCATTCGTTCTCAGTTGCCTGGGGGAAAGAAAATGTAATCAAACAGACGATGAACACTATTAACAGCAATTATTATATGATGCAATCAAACTTATAGAAAAATGTAGTAGTTCTGTATGTTGTTTCAGGGTTGGCATCATCTGAGGTCCTCTGAGGGGGTGGCGCAGGCCCGGCTTGGCTAATCGGGAGCACCAGGAGGATTCCCGGTGGGCCGGTCTGTTTTTTGGCCCCGAGAGCCGGTGTGTTATCATGCTACTGGGTTGCTACTGTAATGTGGTCTTTTGGGTGTGTTTCTTGTTCATGTTTTCATGTCTTTTATTTTGTAATTATTTTCATGCTGTTAGTGTCATGCTTCCCTTGCTCTCATGTATCTCTGCCTTGTGTATGTGTCATGTTCTGATTGGTTGTCTTAGTCATGTGTCTTGTTTCCCATTGGTTTGTTCTTGTCTTGTGACCCTCTTGTTTGCTATAAGTAGCCATCATGTTGCCATTGTCTTTTGTCGTGTATTGATGTTGTAACCTGCTGTTGGTGAGTCTAGTCTGTTCATGCCTCATCAAGTCTGTTCTAGTCAAGTCTGTTCAAGTCAAGTCAAGTCTCGGATTATGTTTGGATGTTTGGATCACTGTAAATAAAACTGCACTTGGGTTCTCACTTCAACTCGCCTTCAGTGGATGATTCGTTACAACTCTCTATTCTAATTTATTCTTAAAAATAAAATAAAAAAACTTGCACTCTATTCATTTACTGCTTGTTTTCCTAAAAAAAATAAAAATAACACTAGCATCTCTATTCCTTTTGTATTATATTTGTTTTCTTTTTATTCATTATACAATTAACAACAGCAAAAAAGGCCTCTAACACTAGCTTGCTCTTTTCTCTTTCTATTCTATCGGTTTTCTTTTTATTCATTATATAATAATTAAAAAAAACATTGCTACGTGTACTGCATTAAGCGGAGACTTGTTATAGCACTTGCATATCATTGCTCTCTTGTCGATTTTGATTGCTTCCATTGTCCTCATTTGTAAGTCGCTTTGGATAAAAGCATCTGCTAAATGACTAAATGTAAATGTAATGTAACTAACCCTTTAAGTTACCTTTCGGCAGTCATAATTATATGGGTTTGTTCAAATTTGTAACTACAGTGTATGAGCTATTAATATCAAATGACTTTTCAGGTAAAGGAAATGTACTTCTGTAAGAACAAAACTTCCACCTAGAGGAAACGGCTTACTGTATTACAGCATCAGGATAGGAATAGCTGGATTATAGACCCATAACCTCATGTGTACATTTTTTTTTTTTAATAAGTTTTATAAGAATGAATAAAAGTGCAAATACAAAAGATCAACTGATCTGAAAAACTGCAAACTTTTGGTCAGGAGTGTCATTATACAGCTCATAAAATAAAGCTTCAAATCTAAATGGATACAGCTCTAGATAAACATCTCGAAACATATCAAAATAAACATCTTGATATGCATGAGGCAATCTGGCAATCCACTTAACATTCAACTTTGATTTGATCAAACGTAGTGCAATTTGTAACAAAACTGGACCCAAGACAGATATAAAAGACTATGAAATATCCAGAAATAGATGTTCAAACTGTGCACATATGTGAATGGAAGTATACACAATTCAAAGAATTCAAGCTCAAGAGTCCTACATCAAGAATCCTGGCTTCCTAAGGTGTACAGTGGGTAGAGTTCAGGAAATCTGTTAACAGATTATGATTAAGTAACAACAAAAAATATGAAAGGCATCTTGTGAAAATATACAAGTGTGCATAGAGCTCAGCGCATCTTAAAGATTGACAGAAACTTCTGTAAAGCACTAAATAAGTGAATTCGGTGTATTGCTTCAGTACAAGGCCACTCTTTGAATCTTCTGTGTGTTTAGCTGAAGTCTCGGTCGGACAGGATTAGCGGAGCCACAAGGGTCCAGAGGTACAGCGCCAGACCCAGCCAACTCGAGCAGATCTTAACCCACACAGACGGCATGCTGGTTTTCATGGCTGTGTAGTCTGTTTCAGGTCTGAGAAAGAAAGAGAACGTTTAAAGAAATATCTGTCACTCATTTCTTCAAATTAACATCTATACAGAACTCTCCCAAGCTCCCCAGCAGTACAGAGTGAGGATGCTCTGTGAGACACTCACTGGTACCAGTTGGTCAGGGTCATCATGATGTAGAGGGAGGCCAGGAACAGAGAGAAGTGGAAGAAGGAGTAGCTGTATGTGACGCTGTCCTCTTCGTTATCCACAGCGCGCCTCACGCCGTCCTCAGAGACGCCCTCGCAGGCATCAGCAGACGCCAGCCCCTGAACTTCCTCTGTCTGCATCAGCTTATTCACCTGGCTGTTGTTTGAGGAGCGAATGCTAGAAAAAGATAAGAAGCAAACACATAAAAGATGGCTTAGATCAAATAATGGAATTAAAAATGACTTAATTTCAAATATGAATTTTACGTCTAGGCCTATGTTAAATTTGCTTTATGAAACCAAATAATTTGACAATGAGTCAGACTAACTGAAATAGTTTTATGAGGTAAAACTTGTTTTATGAAACAGGCCTCGAGGCATTAAAAGTGATCATATTTTCTCCATTGCATATTGCATTGAATCGCATTGTGTTGAATCAAATCGAATCGAAATCGGATCGCACTGCATCGTAATAGGGCTGAATCGTATCGTTGGCTATGCGTCGAGATCAGCCCCAGTCATGGAGACGCACATCCCTAATATACAGTACATACATACATACATACACAAAAGCAAATACACCAATAAACATTTATTTGAAGACAATTAAAAGAAAAAAAAAACTGAATTATTTTAAGATATACTGTTCAGCACAGCTTGTATTCATTTAGCATTTCTTTGTCTGCTTCTGGCAGTGGTGAGGACGATGGTAACCAGCTCACCTGGCATACAGTGTGCAGAGGAGGAAGATGACCAGCCCCACAATGCTCTGGGCATCCCACCACTGCGTCTGGATGCCGGGGGCGCTGGTGGGAGTGACTGCTGTCGGCCCGCCGCTGACCAGACTCAACAGACTCGGGTTACACTTACGATCTGTGCACAGACAAGAGCAATGCAACACATGAGAAACAGGTTATTTAGGAGCATAGCATACACTCTAAAACAGATAGTGATTCTGTTATTCATTTTACACATGCTACCTGGGCTATTAAGCACTGGATGTGAGTTAAGCAAGGCCAATTAATGGGATTGTTACACAGAATTTCCATACTCCGCTCCACAGCAAAAAAAAAAAAAACCTCCTTTAAACTTTAATTGCATTACATCCCATTACATTTGGCCTGGAGGTTGCTGAGGTTTGTCATTTTTTCCATTCAAGCAGCTCCATGTGTTTATGTATGTCTTATTTCCCAGAATCCAATTATGTAAACAAACAACCTGCATCTGGAATTTTCCAAATGTCTTTCCGAGAATTCCTTTGTTCTGGTCAAACTTTATCAGGCATGTGATTTCTCAGTTTTGGTAACGAAATGAAGTTTGAGACAGCATACAGATTATTATCAGACTATCAGACAATGATATCAATGAAACAACCTTAAAAAGAGGTGGTTATTTATTTTGATTTTGTTATGTACTCAGCTAGGATGCATTAAATTGATCAAAATGAGTGTATGGACATTTATAATGTTACAAAAGACGCTTCAAATAAATGCTGTTCTTTTGAACAACAACAACAACAAGATCATACTTTCTACACAAATATGAAGCTGCACAACTGTTTTCTGCATTGATTTCCGAAGGATCATGTGACACTGAAGACTGGAGTAATGATGCTGAAAATTCAGCTTTGGTCACAGGAATAAATTACATTTTAAAATATATTACGGCAGAAAGCAGTTATTTTAGCTTATTATAATATTTCACAATATTACAGTTTTTACTCTATTTCTGAACAATGAAATGCAGCTTTGTTGAGATTCTTAAAAAAATAAAAATAAATCCAATAGACCCCAAACTTTTGAATGGAAATGTACATAAAAAAAAAAAATTTGTGCTGGGCAAAGATTAATTGCATCCAGAATAAAAGTTTGTTTATATATGTGTGTGTACTGTGTATATTTATTATGTATATATAAATACACACACACACACACACACACACACACGTATATATTTAAGAAAAATGTTTATGTTTATGTATTAAATATATTTATATGTATATGTAAATACATGCAAATATTTTCAAAATATATACTGTATGTGTGTCTTTATATGTACATAATACATATACACAGTACACATACATATATATTATATAAACAAAACCTTTTATTTAGGATGCGATTAATCATAGCCCAGCATTAATAAAAAAATTTATTTCTGCAAACAATCACAGAAACAGGTGTCACTTGTTTCTGTGATGGCCTCCTAGACTCTTTCTCTCTTTGCTTGTCAGTCATTTTGCACATTCAAGTTTGTTGACATACCTTTGAAGGGTGAGGTTTTGAAGTTAGCAAGATGAAATTAGCTAGATGGCAGAAAATGTCTTTTAAAACAAAATATATTAGGCTATATAAGTTCTATAGTTACAAAAGTTTAAACAAAAACTTACACCTATTTTTATTTTTTTTAACTGACTGCATTGTGTGTCAATCACCTTAATGTCAAATTCTTAAAAGTTGTCCACTTTTTATTGTGCATATAAGCACCCTTTCACCTGACCGACTCTTTCAGAGATGAGGGTGCTTATGAACTAGATTCTCATGAATTAAAATTCAATCAGAAAGTTCAGAGGTACAACAAAAAAAGCATTCAATGAAGTTCATCTCATGAGATCTGTTTGCGAGACTCACTAGGGTTGTTGCTCATCGCAGACCATGTGAGATACATGGTGTAGAGAGAGATGAGAGACGCCTGGAGCAGCCCAGAGCTCGGCTGAGCCTCCTGTAACACAGTTACCCACAATCTAAATCATTCTGTCAGTGTATGTGATGTGTGCAGATCTGATACGCAAATGTTCACATTCTGACAGACTTGTCTGCTTTATCTTGTTTGCATCCATTCAGAGAGAAAAGCAAGAAAACCAGCAATGACCTGCACTTTTGGAAGAACAGCCACCACAGACACCATGATGCAGAAGATGAGGTTGAGACTGATGAAGGCTTTGTGCTCGGCGCAGTCCTCCGGCTGCGTGTAGAATATATAGAACAAAACCACAGCAGCAAAGGCACAGATATAGTGCACCAGTGTGAACGACAGCAGGGCTGTGGAGAAAAGGAATACGATTATAGCCAATCAGCTCATATTTGATATTTAATATACAGTTATGTGGATTTTGGGTCAAAGAAAGACACCAAGTGACCAACAAATTGTCCCTCATGGACCCTTTTCACCTTCCTCGGGTACTCAAAAGTGGAAGTCTACATAGTAGGTAAACTTCTATGTCACTTCTATGGTCAACTAATATGTGACCCTGGACCTCAAAACCAGTCTTAAGTGTAAATTTTTCAAAATTGAGATTTATACATCACCTGAAAACTGAATAAATAAGCTTTCTGTAGACTAAACTCTCTCTCTTTCTCTCTCTCTCTCTCTCTCTCTCTCTATATATATATATATATCTCAATACTTTGGTAGATTTATAATGTTAATAACTGTGGAAGTGACAGTCTGTAAAAAAGGGTCCACTGCTTGTCAAAGCTGCAGCTGGTTTGAAGAGAATGTTATACTAAACTGACAAAGACAGCTTATAATGCTTCAAAACCAGTCTTAAGTGTAAATTTTTCAAAACTGAGATTTATACATCACCTGAAAGCTGAATAAATAAGCTTTCTGTAGACTAAACTCTCTCTCTTTCTCTCTCTCTCTCTCTCTCTCTCTCTATATATATATATATATCTCAATACTTTGGTAGATTTATAATGTTAATAACTGTGGAAGTGACAGTCTGTAAAAAAGGGTCCACTGCTTGTCAAAGCTGCAGCTGGTTTGAAGAGAATGTTATACTAAACTGACAAAGACAGCTTATAATGCTTGTGACTTTAAGATGACACCTGCTTTCAGCTCTTAGCTTTATCAGTTTAACAGCTTAGTCACGCAGAAACAATGTTGCTGAACGTACCTGCATACCAGCATTTACTGTTCCCGTTCTCCGCGTTCTCCACCCACTTCTGGTTCCAGGTGTGAGCGAAATCCACCAGCAGAATGAGCTGGATCAGAATGAAGATGAAGGACCCAACCACGCCGAAGTAGTACCACACTGCAACGGACAAAATCCATTCCTGTCTTATGAACTGGCATGACTTCAGCAGCTGTTCCTGACAACTAGGAGGGATTTCTCATTTTATAGAGACTGCACTCACAAAGAGCCATTTCTAGTCATTTAGCAGATGCTTTTATCCAAAGCGACTTACAAATAAGGACAATAGAAGCAATCAAAATCAACACAAGAGCAAACACTAGTGTTAGAGAGTCTTTTTTTATAATAAATAAAAAGAACAGAGAAAGCTAGTGTTAGAGGGCTTTTTAAAATAATAATAGTAGAATAACTTGATACACAAATGGCTATATTCACAGTGATTATACTTAATTCATATTTTGATTATTAAAAAATCTTCTACATACAGTATCTAGTATGAGTTAAGGCTGCTGGCTATATTCACAGTGATTATACTTAATTCATATTTTGATTAATAAAAAATCTTCTACATACAGTATCTAGTATGAGTTAAGGCTGCACTGTGCCTGCTCAAAATTCTGTGTAAGGACAGACAAAAATATGCCTGCTCTCACACCTCAGTATGAAAGTATCCAGCTGTAATCGCTGTGCAATTGCATTTATACCACTTCGAGTCTGTGTACAGACAGCTAAATGAAACTTCAGAAAGCACTTCTGTTACAACTTTACAGTGTGACTTTGGAAGACTTTTGCTCACAGTGTTAGTCAAGGAAATATTTAAAAGCTGAGACATTATTTTATTACTTTTATTTATTTATTTATTTTTTTAGTTTTGGGATTAAGATTAATAACCAGACTTTTCAGGTTTTTCATTTTTAACACACTCTTGTTAGCTTAAATAATTTAGAAGTTTCATCTGGTCTTGTTGAAATATATAGTTGAGTATCATCAGCATAACAGTGGAAACTAATCCTGTATTTTCTAATATTACCAAGGGGCAACATGTATATTGAAAATAGCAGAGGGCCTAGGACAGATCCTTGCGGCACTCCATACTTTACTGGATTTAATTGAGATGATTAATTAAATGATTAATCCACCTATGGATTAATAGGTGGATAGAATGGATGAAAAAGGTCTTGATCCAACTATGATAGGATAAAGTTTATCCTTAGCCTTAGGTATGGAAATCACAATTTTAATATTCCCTGAAATTTCTAGGTTTTCAATGACAGTGGGAATCCTGGTGTATGGGGTTTATCACCACTTTAAAACATTCACGTAACCAGAGAAATGCAATAGCAAATAAGTAGGTGATCATTCACTGTTGTCTATGATGCATGAGGAAGCGTTAGTGTTTACTCTAATGTGATGTGGTCACATGGTTATCAGGCGTAAACAGGGCCTACAAATGTCGTTTGCTTGCATTCCCAACTGGTTGTACATGAGAAACTGCTATTCCTCCTGGGAACTACAGAGCACTGAAAAACAACCTACTAGTTGTGAATGTCAATAAAAAAAAATATTATTAATATGTAATATAGCCACACACTCAGTGGTCATGTACCATAACCTATAAAGAGTGAGGGAAAAAAAAAATACTAAAAATATCCAACTCTTATTAGTGACCATGGACAACAAAACCAGTCATAAGGGTTCATTTTTGGAAACTGAGATTTATAATGATCTTTACTTAATATCCTAATGATTTTTGGCATAAAAGAAAAATTGATAATTTTGACCCATACAGTGTATTGTTGGCTATTGCTACAAATATACCTGTGCTACTTAAGACTGGTTTAGTGGTCACATTTATCAGCTGATGTACCTGTGTTGAACGCTCCATCTGGAATGAAGAAAGCTCCCACTGTAAGAGCGACCAGAATCAAGAACTTGAAGAACCAGAAACTGAAAAACAACATACACAGTCACATTGGCGGATTATGTAAGACTTCCCGGACAAAGTAGAACTATTGTGCAAAAAGGAATTTTCCATATTTCAAAAACCCCAGCTTTCACCAGCAGAGGGCAGCACTGTTACAAACATTTTCTGAGAACGCCCTGTCCATCTTTTCAGTGGGAAAGACTACAGCTGGTACAGCAGATAGTAAAACTATACCCGTTTTGAATTGACGCTCGTGGATCCTTGCTGCTTCTCACACGGATCATGATGATGGAGAAGAGGAAGAAGAAACAGGCCATGGCAAAGCACATCCTGTAGACCGACTTATAGCCAACAATGATCTCACAGTTCACCTTCCCATGAATTCCAGGTATGGAAGAGCCTCCTTCACAGAAACCAGGAATCTGTTGATAAATTCAATAAAAAAATGATTGAATCATCAATTCAAAATGCAGGTTTACACAGGGGTCAAACAAATATAATATTTCTCTCTTTACACCTTGATAACATACTGTGGCTGTTTATATGTTTAAACCACTGATCTATAATAGAGAACAGAGTCATTATATAGATCAGTGGTTTAAACACATAAACATATATATTTTTTTTTTTTATTTAAATTTGAGATTATAAACATGTGAGATTATAGATGTATAAACCACTAAATAAGCTTGCTGCGTTTTCAAAAAGCTACTAATGCATAGCACAAATGAGAGAAAGAAAACAAACCAGCCAGAGAGCAGTTTGATGTATTTAGAGGGGAAACAATTCTTGTTAACTTGCTTTTCATACAAGCATGCAAATATAAGCATACACAAATATTTTTGAATAGTTATGTTGTAGTCTGAGGTCATTTTCCCATAACCTGGAATATATCCATGTCAACATCAAACAGAACTGAAACATGGATTTATATTAGGCTTTGAAAACTGCAAAGAGGGGACTAATCTAATAATTGAATTATTAGTAGAATAATTCAACTAATAGGCCTACTAATTTCAGACCACTACACTGCCCTGGATCTAAACTTAAAAGTATATTTTACTTACAGTGGGTTTCAGAATGTCAGAAATTCACTTACATTTCATTATTTAGAAATAACCTAGAAATAGTGCAGAAATAATTATTTACACTACATGTCAAACGTTTGGAGTAATTTTTCTTTTTTAAATAAGTATGTTTTTGAAATAAGTAATATTGTTACAATCTAAAATAACTATAAAATATTATAGCTATATATAAATATATAAAATATTTTTATTGCACTTTTCTATCATGTGACTTCAGTGTCACGTGATCCTTCAGAAATCATTCAAATTATTATCTATGCTGAAAACAGTTTTTAGTTTTGTGGAAACTATGATACTTTTTTTTTTGTTCTTCCCCAGAATTTGTTTGAATTTGATGAATAGCATTTACTGTTCAACAGCATTTATTTGAAGGCAAAAAAATGTTTTATAATATATATATATATATATACACATACACTGTCGCTTTTGATCAATTTGCTGTGTCCTTGCTGAAAATGCAGCTCTGCATCACAGGAACACATTATTATTGTTTTTACAATATTTAATCAAATAAACTGCAGTCTTGATGAACATGAGACTTCTTTCAAAAATATATCTTAATTATTCCAAATTAGTGACTAGTAGTGCCAATATTTAGAAAATAAATATAGAAACGTATATGCTTTGTTTATTTCCATGTTTGTTTTCAGATTAAAATGTCTCCAAATTTTAATTTCAGAAGGCAAATATTTTCCTTTAATAAAAACAACTTCTGACACTGGTCTATATCTTTTCATTGTTTTGTTTTTTTTTTCAGGCCAGAATCAGGATTGGAAAGCAAGAGAGAAGAAATGGGATCCGGCCAGATTCAAGCTTATAGGGATAGCTAGTAGAGCAAAAATATCTTAATTTGTGTTCTGAAGATGAAAACGAAGGTCTTCTGGGTTTGGAACGACATGAGGGTGAGTAATTAATGACAGGATTTTAATTTTTGGGTGAGCTATCCCTTTAAGCACACCAGCTCTGCTGTGATGCCATGCCCCCTGCACCAATGGTCTGTGTACCTTCTTCAGCTGCGTCTCCATGCCGGGCAGGATCATGATGATGGACACTATAGTGCCCAGCAGCAGGAAGAAGGAGAAGGCCAGGCGGCTCACAGTGGAGTTGTATGTAGAAGGACAGCATCCTGATAAAAGACACGGTGCAGAGCCGCACAGACAAGACGCCTACAATGACAGAAACACACTCAACACAGAAAATACACACATTTCTCTGCACTACAGGGTGAACAAACTACTACATGACCCTGGACAGTCATAAGTGTCTTCTTTTTTTTTTTTTACATTGAGCTGAATAATAAATCGGAATAAATAAGCTTTCCATTGATGTATGGTTTGTCAGGACAATATTTGGCCAAAACACAACTATTTGAACATCTGGAATCTGAGGGTGCAAAAAAAAAAATCAAAATATTGAGAAAATCGCCTTTAAAGTTGTCCAAATGAACTTCTTAGCAATGCATATTACTAATAAAAAAATAAGTTTTGATATATGTACGGTAGGACATTTACAAAATATCTTCATGGAACATGATCTTTACTTAATATCCTAATGATTTTTGGCATAAAAGAAAAATCGATAATTTTGACCCATACAATGTATTGTTAGTTATTGCTACAAATATACCTCTGACTGGTTTTGTGCTCCAGTGTCACATATGAGAAGCCTAGGCCTCTATGTTAAACATTTCTATTAAATATTACTGGTAAAATGGGAAATTATTGGACTGAAAAGGACTTGCGTTTGTGAAATCGGATGCGCGTCAGAAACTCGAGAAACTTACAGCCCAAGTGTTTTAAAGTACACCGTTTACAAATGTGACATTATTAAGAGCAAACAAAGTCTAAAAACATAAAGACATGCCGCCCTCGAGTCATTTATTTATGTTTTCTCAAAACTTTATAGTTTATTTACGTAAACAAAACGAGGAAACGGCCTCTAAAGCGCATCTATGAACAAGTCGGGTTTAAAGGTTTTTGATAAAATGCGTTGCTGTCTTCAGCAGATGACATTTGACAACATGAAGAGACGAAATTGATTTGAGTCAAAGTAATATTTTAGACTTACGCAGCTCGCCAGCGAGCACAAGGCCATACACGCACCCATGATGAGGGAGAAAACCCGAAACTAAAGCCAAAACACGGAAGTCAATCTTTCCGCCTCATTCGAGTTTCTTATAAAACTCTAAAAAATGAGCAATGATTGGTTGGGAGACGCATCGCTGGACTTGCGGACCAATCAGACGGCGGTACAGAATAATCGCTGAAGTAACAAACCAATCAGATGAAAGTCTAGCAACTGCGCCGATGGGTTTGGGTTTGGAGAGACAGGCGTGCGTAATTACGTAATTCCGTTACATGTAACGAGTTACTCCCCAACGCTGCTTATATCCACAGGCAGCTCAGTTTACGGTATTGCATTACATTCGTATTTATGTTCTTGTTAAAGCGATCTATGAGTCAGTAATAGTCTCTGACATTTCATCCACTCTAGATGGCGCAAAATCCCATAATATGGATTGAGACGTAAGTCATAAATCTCTTAAAATATGAAAACATGATTTTGCCGAATTGACAAATGTATATCTGATATCACGGTGCAATACTAAATCAAATATTCAGATGTATACAGTAGGCCTGCTTGTCAAAACGAGATAATTAGATTTTTAAAGGTTTTAATCAATTCTGTTCTGCTCACCAAGGCTGTATGTATCAGCTCAAAACAAAACAGTAATATTGTGAAATATTATTACAATTTAAAACAACTGTAACATGTATATTGTAAAATGTCATTTATTCCTGTGATCAAAGCTGAATTTTCAGCATCGTTACTCCAGTCATGTGACAGTTCAGGTTTGCATTACAGGATAAATTGCATTTAAAAATATATATTCAAAAATAGAAAACAGTTATTTCAAATTGCAATAATATTTCAAAACATTACTGTTTTTACTGTATTTTTTTTTTTTTTCAAATAAATGCAGCCTTGGTGAGCATAAGATACTTTATTACAAATATTTAAAAATCATAATATTTCCAAACCTTTGTACTGTACGAGTATTGAATAATTCAGCAGAATAAGTGAGCAATGACAGGCAAATCAAACAGCATCCCACAATTAAAAGGTAGGCATATCCTCTGAATTTTTTTTTATTTATTTATTTTTTAATTTAAGAGATCACGTAACCTATAGTTATGAACAATGAAATGTAACTGATGGAATTCTTAAAAAAAACTGAATCACAATAACTCATAAATTAAATAATAAAAACACCATTAGCAACAGGCAAATGGCATTCTGCCCAAATTCCGAGGCAGCATCTTTCCCCAAGGGTTTCACTTCAACTTTTCACAAAATAAAAAACGATATTTCTCATCACAAAAATATATTTTTTTATATAACTCAGCATTAACAGACATGATGTTTAACAGCCAACATAAAATAAATGTATGGCACATTAGATCATATCAAAACTGTTTAGAAGTAGTAGATCTCACAGTCACAAATACTGATGTTCAGAGTAAATGTCAACCCAGATTCACACCAGTCAGTCATATGTAATTTCCACATGTATTATTATTCCACCTTTACACTACAGTTATCAGATGAATCTGATTATTATGATTAGAATAAACTGCATATGTAAGTATACTGGACATCTAATTTTTACTCAAAATTGTTACATTAAAAACTACAAAGGTTATACAATAAGTTGTTTTCTCAAATGTTGTAACAGTAAGACACAAAAATATTCAGGTAAAACACTGTATAATACAATCTTACTTTTCAGACAGTGTGAGAGATGAGGAAACTATATCAGTTAAAAATCACACAGTTTCAATGATGATTTATGACCAACCACAAACCCAGGATAGAGCGGCTGAGTGAATGTGGTCTGGACTGTGTGGATGAGGTTCATTGTGTCAGAGACGCTGTAGAAGGACAGAGTTCCTGCACTGTGATCCACATACACTCCTATTCTCCAGCAGCTGGAGGGAACAGGGAGTTCAGTCTGTTTGTTATTGTGACAGAATGAGGAACTAGAGGGAGAGCAGGATAAACTCCAGGACTGATCATTCATAAGTATAATGAACTCTCAAGAAATCGTATCATTGGAGACTACTAACAACTATCATGAACAAATCCAATATGTTTTGCTAAATTATTATTTGAAATAAATAAGCAGAGATACTGGTCTATATGAAAAATCAAGAAGAACATTTCAAAGTTCTAAAAATATTTTCATGTTTACCAGCACTATTCTCAGAACAAATGGACAGTTCTGACCTCTCGAAGTGGAGCAGATACCTACGAGATCAAAGGCAGATATCGCGTTTCTCTCACTTATGCTGTGTTGCTAATAAACATGATATGATTTCAGTTCTGTTGCTTTTATATGAAAATAAATATGATGAACAAGACACTTAAAGTGCTTGCTATTTAATTCCGTACGAAAGGTGTATTTATCATCCATTTTTACTTTAATACACATGTATTTTAGATTTTTATAGAAATATGACAACAATCACATATCTCACACAGAGATCGCACTGTCATAGTGTTTGGTAACATTCATGCATGATTTAAATACATAATCACATGGAACCAGATAAAAAAATAAAACATTATGGAAGAGAACGCAGCATCACGGTTGTCTGAACCAATGAGCATTAAGCTGTGTCGTCAGTCAGTCGTTTCCCATCATGCTTTTGATCAGAGCAGTCGGTGGAGAGCAACTGCGCTCGACTGCACAATCCGACACAGCCGCCTCGCCGTTGCAAGAGTTTTTTGGCACACGTCAGCATGACATCAGAGCAAGTCGGACGTAACTCGGACACTTTTCTAACCGGCATCTTGTGGTGATCACCGGTGATCGGTTCTGCGCAGATTTTGCTCATCTCAAACAAGCCTAATATGAATTGTGTTCACATCAACTTGAAACATGCTTGCTCATTGCGGCGTTCCGCGCAGACACCGCTCTCTCATGCAGTCTCCACGCGTTGTAACATTAAATATTGTTACGGTCGTGTTTACAGAGATGAACTGACGGTGTGGAAACTCTCATTAGATTTGAATTCTCCACTGTAAGAAGACCTCATGCATAATACAGTGCAGGGATTGGATCATAAGAGTTCATTCTAATGAATGGTACTGAGAAAAGCTCGGAAAACTGATGACGTAGACACGTACTCTCCAGCCACAGCAGCCAATCACCACTGCAAATTAAGGCATATACGTCACTTTTCGTGACGTTGGTTCAACTTTTCTTTTTGAACCGGAAGAACGAAATTGCTCCAAAAAAAATAAAATAAATAACCATTTTTCACATAATAATAGACATAAAGAGTGATGTTATTGTTTTTGCTTAGCTGGCGACTTTGCTACTGTTCGGACGCTTGTGCTTACTGCTCTGTGCTTTGCTCCTTGTTTTGCACTTTTCTCAGATTTTTCTAAGATTTTAACTTCAGCAGATTAGCACAGTGCTCAAACAACACATTTTTTGGCACAAGCACTAAAACAAAAAACTTTTTGGGATTGGAATAATACTACGAAAAAGAAGACTCTTTGCCTCCCACTGCCAGCAGCTTACATTCCGGAGACGGGAAAACACAGCTGCCTACATTCAAACAGACGAGAAAGAAAATGCCTCTTGTGGAATCTACTTGCTGCATGAACTGCCACAGACTTCTACAAAGGATTGCGGTTCTTGAAACAAAGTTACTTGCTGGACTTCCAAAACAGGCAGAACACACAGCAGAGTGTCATCACGGGCCCCCTCAGCATACAGCCGGTGAGTCCTGTGAATCTAGTGAATCTCAACAGTTTATACCAAGTGTAAAGAACAAGCCAAAACTGATCTACACACTAATCGATGGCACAAACAGGGAGTGAGACCCAGAGGCACTCAAGACATCAGATTGTCATGAGTATCTCATATTGCTGCCGTAGCATCCTCTACCCCAGATATGGCTATGACAAGCCTTGCAAACACTGGTGTTCTACCACCCCCTATACATCTTGAGGACAGATTTGAAGCATTAATGAATGTGGGTGAGGAATCCCCAAATGTGATTGAACATGGATCTTATCAGCCAGCAGCTAACATCACTACTAACAGGTGCTCAAGGTTGAGCAGACAGTGGCATTCAGCTCAGAATGCAGCCGAGGCCAAGACTCTGATAGTGGATTGACTCTATTATCAGAAACATCAGTAGCAGGCCTACAACTACATGCTGCTTTCCTCAAGCAACCATTTCTGATGTGAACAGGGAACTTTGGACCATTCTAATGAAGCAAAAGACTGCAAATCGAATCATCATCCATGTGGGGAAGAATGATATTCGGAAAGAGCAGTCAGCACTCCTTAAGAAGGATTTCAGTGAACTCCTTGAAACACTTCGAAGACTTAAAGTTCAGTTGTTCATCAGTGGACCACTCCCAGCAAGGGGAACTAACATGTTTTCACGGTTGCTTGGGCTGAATACATGGCTACAAAGAACATGCAGTATAAAAGGTGTCAACTTCATTGACAACTTCAATCTTTTCTGGGTCCATAGACAACTGTTTAAACTGGATGGCCTCCACCCAAACAAACTTGGTGCAAGAGTGCTAAAGGACAATATCTGCTTATCCCTCCATCATCCTTCAGTAGTGTGTGCCAATCCACTCAACATGAATGTCACACACACCTGGACAAAGTATGAGTGGCCACAGCACTTCATATCAGCTTTCGAGTCATCATGTGGTTGATACATCCCACAAGGACACTGATAACACCATGCAGCCACAACAAGCACTGCTCATGGACACCATCCCGGCTGAGCTCTGTGCACAGAGCTCATCACAGACAGACTGTAACATATCAGAACAGCTCCAAGACTCAGCACCCAAGGACAACTTTCTGAAAAACAGCCAGGGAAGCCAGGACAACATATCACAGCCACCGGAAGCACATGAGCCAGAGCCCCCGCTCACCAGACACTTTATCCCTCTCTCCAGCATCTCCGCTTCTAAGCTTCTCACAGAAAATGGAGGAACTGGTGTATGCTGGGACCAAATTCTCCCACTTTTTCGCTGCAAGCCCCCATATATCAACTAAAAAATGGCGTGCCCCACAACCACCAAAGTCTGTGGGCCCAGCTTGCCCTCCTCCTCTTGTGAGAGCTCT